CACCTAGTCCTACCTTACCCGATTCCCTGACAAAGTTGAAAATGTTTAAAAACTAACTCAAAAGGCTTCTAACTTTACTAATAATATGCCTGCATCAGTAATAAGATCTTGATCATCCACAGTGACATATATATATATATATATTTATATATCATATACAGTAGTCCTAATATATTCAATTAAAAATATTTATTAAGTGCATTTTCCATTCTAGTAACTAGAGATATTACAGAAAACAAGTATTATGCCTGGAAAAGACCCATAAAATTGTCTAGGCCAATCCCTTTGTTTTTTAGTTATGAAACTGAGGCATGGTGAAGTGGCCTGATTTCCCTAGGTTCACATTAGCAAAATGGTTTGTCAGTGCTGTTGGAATAATTTTGACAAACTTCTAGAATAATTCATGGGCAGAGAGAAAAGAAGAGGGGATAATTGTGTCTTTCATGGTGATTTCACTTACAGTCCATGGTAGCTCCCCATGTAGGGCTGATAGTAGCTTGCCTCATGAAATTGAAATTCTGAAGGAGACAGATTATAAACAAAGTTAATAAATACATGAAAGACCTAGTATATAAGAGAATAACCACTTCCATGGGGGGAGCAAAGGAAGAAAGAAGGATAAGAAATGCTGGGGAATTGATTTTAATATATCACATACATTACAAAATCCTTCATGAACATCATTCTCTTACAGTCATAAAAGTCATAATTAGTCATTCTTATTAGGCACTCATAAATAGTCATTCTTATAATAGGGTGATACTCATACATATGAAGATTTTTCTGTTCCATGATTTTTTCTGTTCCCTTGATTATTGTTCTACAAATTTAGTAACCATGGCCATGGTTATGTGGACTAGACCTCAACTATTCAAGTCCCCTAACTTTTCAACCTGGGTGCCTCATTTCCATCACCCATAAATACAGTAAAGGGAGTGGGTTAGATGGCTTTAAATATACCCTTTTATAGTAACATGCTATGATTTTATACTCTCTGGAGAAATAATTATCACAATCTTCTCAGCAGAGGAATGATTGGAATTGGTTTTCCAATGCTTAGGACATTCCAGAATTTTTGCGAAGGTGCCTAGAGTTAAATAGGACTTCTGCAGAGCAGAGCAGGTACACGTGAAGGTGCCTGGCCATAGGACAGATTTTTTCAGAGCACAACTTCTGCAGGAAAAAGCTCAACTGTGTAGTTTTCATCATAGACTACCGTGTAAATTGTTCTTAATTATTGCCTACCATAGTCCAAACTCTGTTGTCGGCCCTTTTCCTGCTGGATCTCAATCAACAGTTTACCCAGCCATTCTGGCCATGTCTATTGATCATCGATGTCCAAGATGACCATTTAGAGAATGATTTTGTCTATTAAACTTCATTTGGCCACAGAGATTCTATCTGGAACCAAGAGAAGCTACTGCAGCCAGGAACATACTCCCAACATTAAGCCCATTCTCATTCATTCAGGATTTCCAGTACTCACAACGCAAAAACTTGGTTGTTTTTCCAGGCCCAGGTAGGATTTTAAGCTGGTGTATTTTCGCAGTCTTACCAAAGAATATTCAAGCAAGAATCTGAGAAAAAGGGGAGAAAGTTGGAGGGGAGTTAGTAAGGAGGGAAGAAAGCCAAACCTTGAGGTCCTCAGATCAGTACAGACTAGAGGAAAGTAGGAAGGTCTAAAATCTTCTATGTACCTGGTGAGGATGTTTTCCAGCTAGAGTAAAGAGAGTTCAAATTCTGTTTAGCTTAACATATTGGAAGTTAGCATATCTATGACAGACCCTATAACCAGAATTTCTATTTCAAAGCAGAAATAACTTAATCACAATTTACCCAGCCGCTTTTTCCAAATATTGGCTATTTCCCATTTGTTCTGCATTTCTCATTTATTTGATCAATATACAGCATTATGTTTGTTTGTTTGTTTGTTTTAGAGACAGAGTCTCACTTTATCGCCCTTGGTAGAGTGCTGTAGCATCACACAGCTCACAGCAACCTCCAACTCCTGGGCTTAGACAATTCTCTTGCCATAGCCTCCTGAGTAGCTGGAACTATAGGCACCCACCACAATGCCTGACTATTTTTTTGTTGCAGTTTGGCTAGGGCCAGGTTTGAACCTGCCACCCACAGTATATGCCCTACCCACTTAGCCACAGGTGCCACCCATGTTTGATTTTTTTTTTATAAGCCAGGATTACTTTAAATAAGGAAGGTAATGTGATAGACAGTACAAATTCAACTATGTTTTTTTATGTATATTTTCTGTTTTTACTACATTTTGGTGAGTTGAACAAAGCTACAGGCACAGAGCAAATGGAAGGTTACTGTGCGTTATGATTTTAAATGAGTTTAGAAAAATTTAAATCATTTTTGTAAAATAGTTTCTTCATGCTGCAGATTGTTGTGTACTTTAATACAATGAACAATTCTGTGTTTGCGGAATCTGTGTTAGTGAATAATATAGGGAGTTTCACAAAAGTCAGAGGTATTGTATAATACATTAGGGAAAGAAAATGAGAAAAAACAGTGTGCAGAACCAGTACATAATAGACCTAACAAAAAGTAATAGTGGGTGCCATCTGTTTAGTCATTCAGCAATGACTTATGAAACATGCCAATCATTGGACCAAGTATGCATGTGAAATGTGGATGGAGAAGGAGGAAACCCAGTCAAAGAACCCACTGTTTAGGTGAAAAGATGAAGTTCTGGCATCTGAGTCCTACTCCCAACCCCAAATAGACTGTACAGTCATTAAAGTTCCATGCTGTGCCTTCTGTCTTCTGTTTCTTAATGGAAACAGCATTGTGTGAACACAACATAGTTATTTTTTGAATAGATGGATAGATATAGATATAAATATAGATATAGATATGCCAAGAAAGCATGCAGACTCTAATTTCAGGGTTCTTTTGATGATAAATGTCAGAAATCCAACTTGAGCTAACTTAAGCAAACATAAGGAAATGTTTCCATTATGAAACAGAATACAAGTTTAGCATTGCTGGATCCAATGGATTATGCAGGATTTTTGGTGCTTCCCTAGGTCCGTTGAACTCATTCTCTCCTACTGCCAAGTTCCTTTTTTGCTTCTTCTTTATACTCTAGAGCTTAGCTTAGCATTGGAGTTTAGTGACCCAGCAGAATGAGACTTTTCTGTGAAAAGTCATATACCAATCAAATCATAGAGGAGATTCTGGCTGCTTCCGTTAGGGCCCTGACCACCCCTGCACCAAAATCATGCCAGAGAAATGGATACTGTGATTGGCCCAGTGAGGCTTGTGTGTCAGTTTGTGCCTTCTGAGGTGGGTGGAGCACTGTACTTGCCAATTACCATAATTACATAGACTGA